TAAACCCTAAACCCTAAAAGCCGCAAGGACGTGCAGATCTCCGGCCTTCGCTTGGCCGATTCCCCCATGTACCAGGCCGGTCGTTGCCTGCAGGCTCCTGCCTTTAATTAAAGGGATGCAGAATAAGGTTTAGGATTTAGGGAGGTTCCTGCCTTCAAAGGGATACAAAAGCGGGTCCCCTTGAAACAGGTAGCATAGGGTTTAGGGAGGTTCCTGCCTTTAAAGAGATACAAAAAAGGGGGTCCCAATAAAAAGGTACTAGGGTTTAGGGTTTAGGGTTTTGGGTTTTGGGAGGTTCCTGCCTTTGAAGGGATACAACAGGGGGTCCCCTTAAAAAGGTACTAGAGGGTTCAGGGTTTAGGGCTTAGGGGGGTCCAAGAATATGGTCCCCATTTATTGCTTGGGGTTTAGGTTTCTAGGTTTACGGGTTTAGAGTTTAGGGTTTAGGGTTGCTTGCGGTTTAGGGTTTCTAGGGGTTTAAGCGTTGTGGGCTACTTTACAGGCATTGCAGGGGTTTGGGTTTCGGGATTTGCGACAATTCATGCTTCTCGGACCTTATATGCTGTCGAAGAGCTTCGGGTTCGGAATCTAATCTCAAATGATCCAGCGACGTGTGTCGCAAAGCAAACGACCGTGTGCGTTACGCCACAGCTGCGCATTGTAAATGATTAAACCCCAAACCCTAAACCCTAACCTTCCACACACCCGGACTTCCCTACGCCCTGAACCCTAACCTTCCCTACACCCAAAGGGTTTAGGCCTGCCAAATCCTTAGCCAGATCAGCGGGCGTGAGGGTTACAGTTTAGAGGGGTTTAGGGTTTCGGGTTTAAGAGCTTAAAGTTTAGTCATGGTTTAGGGTTAAGGTGCGGGGGCATTTTTGGGTTGCTGGTTCATAATACATACACTTGTACTGTAATATTTACAGTATATGTATATACACATTATCATGTTTATCTTTTATATAGCACAGACTCGAAACCTGTCAGCAGCCCTGAACTTCAATCTCGAAACCCCGAACCCTAAACTCTGAACCTAACTCTCGGCCCTGAATATACTCATAGTACACTATCACCCCAAAGCCTCAATCAACTGAGTAGAGCCCCTAGGTGGTGGTGGCGCGAAGTCAGCGGGTCCAGCTGGAAGGCCCTGGTAAGAGCTTCCTCAACCTACCGAAACCCACCTTTTTGTAGGTTCTTATTATAAACCCTAACATGGAGTTTATAGGGACCATACAAAAAGTCGGTTCTGGTGGGCTAAGGTTAGGGTCATGTAGAGGGTTAGGGTAATGTAGAGGCTTTGGGGTCGAGAGGCTTAAGGTTGAGGGTTTAGGGTTTAGGGTTTAGGGTTTAGGGTTTAGGGTTTAGGGTTTAGGGTTTAGGGTTTAGGGTTTAGGGTTTAGGGCGGCCTCCGGGCAATGTA